GCGGCGGTCTCGCCGTATTTCCGTCAGATGTTCTCGACTGACTTCAGGGATCGGACGGAGAGGGAGATCAGGATGGCGGGGTTCACGAAGTTGGGCTTCAGGGCGGTTTGGTATTACGTTCATGGGGCGAGGGTGATCATCAATAGGGAGGAGGGGGCTTTGGCTGCTTTTCAGGATGCGAATTTTCTCGGTCTGAAACGTCTCTGCGACAAGTTGAGCAAGACTCTCGGGGAATACTTGAGTGCCGAGAATTCCTTTCGTATTTTCAGCATCGCCGAGGAGCATAACTACAAGGATTTGAGGGAGGCGGCCAGTGGCGTCATTGCGCTTCGTTTCAGCAATTTCATCCGTACGGAGGAATTCCTTAAGGTCTCCGTGGAGACGCTGAAAGGCTTCTTAGATCGAGACGATTTGAAAGTCTCGTCCGAGAAGGAAGTTTACGAGGCGACGAAGAATTGGGTGGATCACGACGAAAGGCGAAAATGTCACATGCCGTGTCTCCTCGAGAAAGTTCGTCTTCCACTTCTGCCATACGATTATCTGAAGACCGTGGTCCTCAGGGATCCGTTCGTTATCGACAATCCAAGATGTCTGCACCTGTGCATAGATGCGAGGGACTATCACGTTCCCGAACTCCGGCATACCGTCCCGAAGGAGAAAACGAGGTCTCGTGGAGTCCCATCGACGCAATTGTGGTTCCTCGGGAAGAAAAACGGCAAGAAGATGGTTTATTGTCTTGATCCAGATCAAAATTGGGAAGTTCATGAGACAACTCCCTACCCCTATTGCAACGATGAGGCTTTCGGACGAGCGTTTGCAGCTGTCCACAGAAAACTCTACCTGACGGGCTGCGGCGCGATGAGGATCTTCGACGTGGACTCGGGGAAGTGGGTGAAAGGGCCGAAGCCTCCCAAGGATTTGGAGTGGCAGGCGGCTGCAGCTTCTCCCACGTCGATATTCACCTGTGGGGGTTGGGACGGGGACAATCAACGGGTGGCATTCCGCTTCGACGCTTCGGCGTCCTGCTGGGTCAAACTCGGGGATATGAGGTTTGCGCGGTATGGCGCTGGAGGGTGTCTTCACGACTCTTGCCTCCATGTGGTGGGTGGGGGGAAGGGGACGAGGCACGAGCGGTTGGATCTCCGAACTCGGAAGTGGGAAGTGTGCGCTCCTCTCCCCGAGGGCAGAATATATCCAGCTCTTGCGTCTCACGGCGGACAGTTCATTCTGACGGGGGGAGTCTCCATGGAAGGGATGAGACAAAGGGATTTGTACTTGTACGATGCGAGACAGAATGAATGGTTGGGGGGACCCACTTTGGTGGAGGGACGGGAGAAACACGGCCTTGTGTCTGTGAATGGGAAACTGTGTGCGGTTGGAGGGGTCGGGACTTCGACAGTTGAAATCTGCAATGGGGATAAATGGGAGGTCGTGAAAAAATTTGATTGCATCCATTGTGAGAGGGCTTGCCGGACGGTGAAATGAGGTTTTGTTCGCACTTTCAAGAGTTTGAGCTTCGGACGACCGTGCTCTGCCGTGAGGTCTTCTTTCACTTCGATATTGCATTTTGGTGTTTATAGGGGCTACAACTGACTCCTCATATCGATTCTAGCGTTCTTTAGCACTCACCATATTGAGCGGAATATTCAAAGCACGACCGACGAGTTCGTCATAGAAGTACACCATAAACGCATATTATTTATGCAGGGGGGTTTTCAGAGACACTGAGACTTTTCATTTTTTAACAACTCCTAAAAGGACAAATGCAGAGGCTTTATTTTCTTGGCAGTATAAAGAGTACATCTTGGAGTTTTATTCCGTACTATGACCAATATCAATAGGCATGGCATATTCAGTGCAGGAACGAGTGTTCTTTGTGGAAAATTTCACCATGGCCTCCATGAACACCGGGGCTCCTATACCCGCGCTCCACAGAGCACGCCAGACGGTGGCCCACTTCGGTTAGAGCGGCCTATCATCAATGTAATGGGGATTCCCTGTCGCCCATTATCTCATGTTCTGCTTTCCGGCGTAACCATCGAAGGGGGGAGTGGGTTTCATTCGTAAACCTAATGTTCTCGAAGACTTCATGATTTTTTTAAAGTAAATTGATTGAAAGCATAGCAAAAGTCAATTTGTCGATCTTTGCCAAGCTGTTGTAGAGGTTTGGGAAGCTGCACTTTGTACGCGCAATTTTGAACATCTCTGCTGAGCATTCAGTATGTGGACATCAAGGATACATTGAGTTTTTGACAGCCTGACTTGATGGTGTTTTTGGATGAAGTTGCTCTGACATTAAATTCAATGCGGGAATGAAGTTGAACTCCCTGTAAACTACCCTGACTTTAGTAGGACTTCTTCACAATGAACTCTCGCTCTTAGACAGATTATGGCATATCTGTTGATATCGGTCATACTACGGAATAACACTCAAACATGTCCTTCAAGTACTGGCATGAAAATCTAACCTCTCCATTTGACATTTTCGGAGTTATTCAAAAAGGAAAAGAGTGTTTTTTTTTTGGAAATCCCCTGTAATACAGGGTGTCCCGAAAGTCCCTATCTATTTTGTTGAAATAGGCTGAATTTTAAATAAATGGCTCGATGATATGATTACGCATTTATTTCTATGCAATATTCTAACATTAGATTACTGTCTGAACTATTTTTAACTTTTCAGTTTTTTTTTCATTTCAGATACATATCATTGATGATGAATGTGCAGGAATGTGTTATGGTAGTAACTTGTCGCATCAGAGGAATGAAATGTGAGATTAGAGACAAATTCACAAGAAAATTTCATAAGCCTTGATTACCTCGATTCCCCTTTATTTACCTCGATATGCTTCAACAGTTTCTGGAACCCCAACTTCTTGAAGATGGTATTCTCGATGTAGTCCATCAGAAGGATGGGGCACCATGTCATTATGCCAGAATTGTCCAGACATACCTCAACAGGCGTTTTCCAAATCGTTTGATTGGACGTGGGGGGAAACGGGCCTTGGGCACCGCGATCTCCGGATTTGACCCCTTTGGATTTCTTTCCTTGGGGTTTCATTAAATCAGAGGTGCATCGGAGAAAAATTCAAGATTTGTCAGATCTCCGAGATCGTGTTAGACAGGCCGTTCAGAAAATAAACCCCGAAATGCTCGCAAATGTGTTCCGCAATGCAGCAGACCGATTTGAGATTTGCAGAGATACTGATGAAGCGCATGTGGAAACTACTGATTAAAGATCATTGCAGTGTATTTTTAGTTCGGTCGGAAACAATACTTTTATATTGCATGGAAATGCATGTGCATTCAAGTCATTGAGCCATTTGTTTGAAATCCAGCCTATCTCAACAAAATAGATAGGGTCTTTTGGGACACCCTGTACAGTATAATGCGGATTACCACTTGGAACGACCACTAAGCCAAGTCAGGCTCTGCTGATTCAGCCCATTTGCTGGAATAGATTCGCTCATATATGAAATTCTTGATGCAGTCTGGCCCACGCATTCTGTGAGGTATTCTTTCATCGAAGGGCTGTTGTCTTCTCATTTCAGTTTCTCAGTGGATAAAAATGCGGACCGAATCTGGAAAAGTGTCCGCAGCGAACAGCAAATCGAGTCGTGCATTCTTCGTGCCATGCCTCCTCGAAATCAATATGTCATTCCTTCGTTTTGTGAGAGACGCAGTTGAAGGTTGAAAAACCTCTGACGGTGCTTTCTAGCTGTGCGTGCGTCAAACACGAACCCTATTTTGCATTCCAGCGAGGAGATCCTAGCCATTCTACCACCCGAGATTTTTGTCAGATTTCTCAATGGGGAAACAGGAAAGGGTTAAAAGACGATCGTGATACCTTAGCGACCTATAGAATGCCATTTTTTTGGGATGCTTTTTCACATGAATGTCAATAATCATCCTTAACGCCTGAAACTCGAATAAACTTCACGACGAACTGCTACGAGCTTGTTACCTTATTTCATCATGATTTACTGAAGATACCTCATGAGGTCCTTATGAGTTTTTGGAACAGAAGTCTCATGAGGTCTCCCAACTTTGTAATGAGAAACTCATAAGGAGACCTCATAAGAGTTTCTTTACAAATGAAATGAAAAAGTTCTCATGAGATCACACTGCCCTTACGAAAATGTCCTATAGGAAACATATAGACTTTCTATAGGTTTTTGAAACACCAAAATCCTATAGGATCGTATAGGATCCTATAGGATCCCTATACGGTCTAATAGGTCTCCTGACCAATAGGATTCGGGGAGGAGTTTTTGGGTTTCGAAACCCAGGCTTTACGACGGATAAGGCGACCGGGGTTAATATTGGCGCTGCATTTTGGTGCAAATCAAATAACCATTAGGGGTTTTCCATGGTAGGGACACTTGCGTTATTAATACATGTACTGCGCAGGTCTGTATAATTTCTGGCCCCGCCCCACATATGTCGCTAGATTGCACTTCTACTTCCTTCGATAGAGAGAGAAATAGTATTCTTCTCTCGACCTAAGGAAGATAAGACAGAACCTGCGAGCCCGTCTCTTTACTGAAACTCCATTTAGATAGTGTCATTTAGATAGTGTCATATGCCAGAGTGTGCCAGAGCCAGAAGGTGCGATATTTCAACCCATGAATAAAGGAGTTTGATCGCATTATTAGAGGTTAGCACCCAAAACGGATGCCTGAAACTGAAGCGCATTAGTAATTTCCCTAGATCGCAGAGCGCCGAAGGACTGCACATTTCGGATCTACCCATATCGGATTCTATGGGAAACTCATAGGTTTTCCTGTAGGAATCCCATAGGGACTTGAAACGAAAAAACCAATAGGATTCCTATAGGACATAGGATAGGCGACTAGCTACAGTCTCCGAATGGGAATAAATCATGTTGAAATGATGGATCAACGTTATTAATATTTCAAATATTTGAGGAAATCGATGCATACTCAACAGTATAGATAAAATTTTGTTACAAAAGTTTCATTAAAAAACACATTACGTTTTCACGGAAGCATATTGATGCCGGCGTCCCTAGTTAGGGCCGCGAAAATGGACTTCGCATCTCGGAGGAGTTCTGTCGGAGATCCAAATTCCTTCATTTCTCCTCCGTCCAAGACCAGAACCCTGCGAAGAAATGTGCAGCTCGTGATGCGTCTAATAGGTGTCGGAAACGTCCGAGAAACCTAAGCGAAACCCTAGGAAGACTTAAAAATTTACGACAGAAACTTTAAAAATCTGCAAAACACGATGACACAGATTGTGAATCCAGCATCGAAAGAACGCCACCAAACGCCTAGTAAGTCTTCATTTTGATGCCTGCTCATCACAAGCACGGTTCCGTCCAAGGTCTGTAATGCTGCCTATTTCCAGCAGGCTCGAGGACCATATCGATAGCACTTTTTAGCAATAACATCTGTAAATCTTTTTGGACAAGGAGGGGGACGTTTACTTCATGTCAAAAAAAAAGAAATTGTGGCCAGGAGACTGAGGCTAAGAGCTAATAGGAAATTCTATTGAATCATAATATTTTTTTTGCGAATTGTTCCCTCAAGCCCGAGATTGAGAAAAAGAAAAAGAAAAAGAAAAAGGAAAAGAAAAAAGATTATGGCATCCATCATGAACAAGATACCTTTTCTCATTTTATTACCATATTTTCTCATCTTGGGACCTTGGAATGTACGACAAACCATTATGTACGAAGTTAGCGACGAAACAATTTCAGCAGAATTCATCAACAATTCATCGCTTAAACTTAGACTTAAAAAGAAGTTGGAGAGCTGGAGTACTACTTAAAAGGTACAGAAGCCCACCTAATGGTTCAGCAATTCACAAGGTAAAAAAATTGGCGAAACATGATAATAAATACTGGATGCTAAAATAAGTTTTGTTGCATTAAGGCACCACAATGTCGTAGCTATTCTTCCGGAGTTTTATGCAAGAACAAGGTAAATTGTACTTTGGATAATTTTTCCTCACACGGAAAGGGTATATTCATTTATCTTGCATGAATAAATATTCATGCAAGATATACGCAAGGATGGGATGCAACGGAATACAATCGCAAGACATGGTTCCAGAATACTTTGCAATTAGGCTGCTGGAGCCCTATAAAACACCCAGGCACATCAAACATTTTTCCTACAGTAGCCTGGATGTTTCCGCACTACGTTTTACTAATTGTTGCTGGAGGAATTGTTACTCGAAATTGGTCCATGGTCTCACCTATCATAATCCATGATGGTGTTCATACGGTGTGCGATAGTGAGAACTGTGCAGCTCTTGAACTCTCTCCGAATTGTATTCTGGAAGGGAGATAGCATGCTTTCAAAAGTGTTAAATCAGTGTACTTTGTAATTTAAGATATACTTTTCTTATTTCTTTCCTTTTCCGCATCCAAAAATTTTGTCCTTTGATCAATCATTCATGATAAAGCCACAGTAGCGTTTCCTTTTGTCAGCCTATTCAAGTATTGCATTAAAATTCTAGAATTTTAAATCGACTTGTCTTTGCGAATTTGCAGAGATTTGAAATGGAAGAAGGGAATAGCGAAAAAAGCGAATATCTCAGGCCGTTTTTCCTTGGATATTAATTAGAAATTCAGATGATCATTGTGACGCGGCGGGAGGTCAATTAGTCACATCGTTTTCTGATCTTGTAAAAAATATATTTCCTTGTGACATGTTAACAGTTCTCGTCACTTTGCAGCCTTACAAAATTGACACATTACTTATCCTAGACATGTAATCGAGTCAGACTTGTGACTTGGCTACATGATCAGAATTTCAATGTCTTGTGTTGCTGGAAATTGAAACAATCAGATTGCCTTACTTGAATGAGTTCGTCTGTTTCTAGGTCGACAGAAGCTGTTGCTTCATCAAGGACAAGGATCCTGCTCTTTCTCAGCAATGCTCTCGTCAGGCAAATGAGTTGCCTCTGCCCAACACTGGAAAAAATCCACGAAACAATACTTCATTTACTCCGAAGAAAGAATTTGAGTAGCACGGATATTAGCAAGTAGGAACACCTGAAGTTCTGTCCTCCATCGGCAACAGGATGTTGAAGTCCCTGTGGAAGTCCCTCTACAAAGACCTTGAGGTGCGAGAGCTCCAGTGCTCTCCATACTTCCTCATCAGTATGCCTCTCGAAAGGATCGAGGCTCATGCGAAAGCTCCCCGAAAAAAGCACTGGGTCCTATTTAGACGTGAATATTGAATAATTGGAATAGTATCGCTTTCATTTCCGCTATAGCCTTCCTCTTCGTCAAACCTGAGGGATTATTGTGAGATGTGAGCGTAAGTCGTGTAGTCCGATTTGACTGATATCGATACCATCAATTGTGATTTTCCCACCGGTCTTCTCAATAATACGGAAAAGCCCCAGCATGAGGGAAGACTTCCCAGCTCCAGTTCTACCCACAAGGCCAATCTATAAGGAATACGAGGGACAGTGAGAAGAATTAATCTCAGAGCAATAAGCCAGCTCGAGGAAAATAAGTTCATTCGTGCACTTGAAAGGCCATCTCCTTTAAATATTTATGCGAGTGTTGTTTGATGAAATTGCAGCATGAAGGTGTACATGGCGAGAAAAAGGTGGTCAAACAAATGGAACCCAGCGTCATCATTTCACTAACCAAAATATGAAATGCATTCCATTGCTTCAAAATCGGCTTCCCTATCTGTGAAGAATCCTTCAATACTTTCACATACGTTGTGTTCCCGAGCGCAGGTTGACATATGTGGATCAATCAGATTGGGATTGAATGCCTATTTTAGGGATATGTTTGTTTTCACTTTTTTCCAACAACAAATCTCTATAGACATGTTCTATTTCAAAGAAAAAAGGCCAATCTGCGCATGAAGCTAAGTGACACTACGAATATACCAGATGCAACGGGCGAACTGCAGTAAAAATCAAATTTCCAAAATTATTCATGCTTTTCCGGACAAAACTAGGGTCTGAGGCTCAGCTCAGATAAAGATTTGCCATTTAACTGCTTAGCACCTTCACATGTCACCACTAATAACAATTAACATCGTTGTACAACCTGATGCCAGCACACACATTTTAGCAGTGACGCTCCATTTGTTCTCGCGAAAATTTAAAATAAAGGTCGATGCTGTCTCAAGATATCATCATTACGCTCCATGACCGCCTGAATTCACATTTATTTTTCAATTCAAAAAATAAAACGTTGAATTTCCATGTCGCATCTCAATATTACCCATCAATCTTGAACTAGGAAAACTCCAAACATTCACAGTGATCGGTAAATTAAAGATTTGAAATCAAAGGTTACTCATGAACATCAATTGCAATGGAAAAGTTACACTCAATAACGAAAATGCATTAAGAAGGTAGTCCTGGCCATGGGCATGCGACACCATCGTCACATTTTAATTTATGTGCTCTTCTTTGAGGTCATGCATCTGACAGTGACGCATTTGAACTAACCTGTCGCATGGGAATTTCCCATCTTCATATATGACTCGAACCGCCTAAATACAGGGTGGTACAAAAGTAAATATACAGTTAGCTGCTTATTTATTTATTTACAAATCATTTAGAAGCAATTCTGAGAGATGTCCAAACTGTTGGCCGTCGCGGTTGACAAATTTCTGGAAACGGTCCCTGACACTTTAGCACACTTTCTGTTCTTTATTTTCATTTTTCTCATTTAATGCACCTGTGTTATCAAACAGCTAACTGTATATCAATGCATACATTTGCACCACCCTGTATATACTCGTATTTATGTTTTCATAATATTCCCTTTCATCACTGCAAGCTTACCTTTTCTCCTCCTTTGATGTCCAATGAGATTCCCTTTAGAACAAGTTCCAGACCTTCTCGATACCTTGTCTGATAATCTTGAAAGGAAATATTCCCTTCTTGTGGCCAATTTTTCTTCGGTTTCCTCTCCGGGATCTCCCACGGAGCCTCAGACGGAGTCTCGCAGTATTCTTTGATTCTCTCCACCGCCACGATGTTCGTTTCTACCTCGGCCATCATCAAAGCCAACCAATTGAAAGTTCTGGAAATCTAGAAAGGAGAACTCAAATGCGCCTCTTCACTTCGTCCTTGAATTGTTCGTTCCCTTGTGAGATGTAATAAGAAACCGACAGACAAGGCGTAGGTGATGCAGAAGCCAGTCAAGATTGGGCTCAATGAACCTCTCCCAAAGACAGTGAGAAGGGAAGCCACGAATGTTATGAAGCCACCAAGTGCTTCTAGTCGGACTCTCAACCAGCTATAGAAAATAAATGGGCTCCAGATGTAAAATAATCGGTTTGCCTTTCTCGTTGAATGATGAAAAACATGCAGTAAAATGTGACAAGAAAACGTTATTCCCAATTCGAGTGACATCACAAGGGTAATATTTTTAAATTGAACCTTTCTTTAGACATGCATTTAAAGTTTTGATACATACCGCGAAGGGGAAAATATCCGCTGGCGCTTGGTGAGGTTATATTATATGTGGAAGCGTTGGGAGAGAATATCAAATAGGTGGTGAATATATCCTGGATAAGTTCAATAAATGTTTCTTTCTCAATTTGACGGATGTCATTTGAGGGAGACGAATTGAAAAATCATAGAACCTGGCAGCAGTGATTTGAGGATAGAGACATTTGTTATTGCGATCGACTCTTTCCTCTGATTCTCGGATAAACTCTTCTTCTCGTCTGTAGGCTCGGACGGAGGAGATTCCATTGACGGTCTCTCCAAAATGGGAATATATGGTGGATCGCCATACGGATTCGAGCCTTTTCAGTTGCCGGGATGCGGAGACATACATATCCTGGGAATGCACAAACAACGAGAGAGTTTGAATGTAGCACATGCTTTTTTTAATTCTTAATTTTTTCTGGGCGTACCTGGGCTAAGTAGTAAGCGGCAACGATTGGGACGAGAGCAACGAGGAACCATGGAACGGTGTAAATAATAATAACAACAGCGCCGATGACCTGCAAGGAAACAGACGACTCCCAAAGCATTTCATAAGTGAAAAGTTCACCACGCCTTGGGTCAAACTTTTTGTTTACCTCGAAGGCACATATCAGAGAGTCTTTCAAGAAGGGAGCGATGCCTTCGTCAACGACCGAAACGTCTTGGGAGAATCGGTTCAGAATCCTTCCCACAGGATTGGTGTCGAAGAATTTCTGAGAGTTCCTCAGGACATTTCGGAGACAGTTCTTGTGAAGTACCCTCCCCGCCTCACAAATCAAAACTGATAGCATGAAGGAAGTCAAAGCGAAGACACCAGCTGCCACGATGAATGGACGATTACAATCACTATTGCCACAGACCTACCCGACCTTTGCCTTCGTGCGACTCACCGTAGGATAATCCAAGAGCGGAGTACGCTGCGATGTACGAATTTCTTTGTGACGTGTCTGTGGTATGATTCAGGGAGGCCATCTCGGCCCATTTGGATAGGGCAATGTTGGAATTTATTATGAGTGCCTCGCTGATCCCATGCAAGAGAATCGTGACTAGAGACAACGACAGGCCCATGCTCTTCAGGAAATACAGGTACACCAACCACTTCACCTGCATTAATAAGTTACATTCTGAAATGAGGAGCATTGAAATTCAGCTATCACTTACAGCTGAATTTTACGCAGTATAATTTACTTATATTACTTTTCCTTTTTCTGCAGTTTCATCCGGAATGAGCCTTGCTTCATTTGCAGCATGCAATGACGTACTCTCTTCTCTTCGTTCATTCAGCACTTCACTGCATGGCAGACAAGAATATAAAAATCGGAACCTGTAAAGTTGAAGAGTGCCAGAGAGAGGAAACCGAATATGCGCTGACTTGCCTTGGATGGAGTCCATTCGCACCCTCGGATAACTTTGACAGGTTCTTTGCCCGTTGCCTGTTGATAATCTTTTGCCCTGTGACATTCTCCACTTCACGTTTGATGTTCTCTAGCTCATCTACTCCATCGAATGGAAGCTAATAACCATGTCATAAAAATGCTAATGGGAAGCATAATGACACAATCGTCTGACCTGAATCGTCTCCTTCTTGGGAAATAAACTGAATGATGAATTCAGAGAATGCTCCTTTCTCATGGACCAACTCTTGATAACTCCCCATCTCAGTGATTCTTCCTTCCTTCATAACGATAATGAGGTCCATTTGTGGCAGGTGGGTTATTCCATGGGTGACGAGTACACGCGTCTGCGAGATCTTCAGCGTCTTCTCAGGAATAACACCAAAAACACTTTCTTTAACCTTAATAGTCACCTACCTTGTTCTTGAGAAGTCCCTGCGGCCCGATGACATGCTGGAAGATATGCTTTCCCACATGACTGTCAACAGCACTGAGAGGGTCATCCATGAAGTAAACATCTGCATCACTGTAGACTGCCCTGGCCAGACTCACTCTCTGCTTCTGTCCTCCACTTAGGTTTATGCCCTATAGAAAGAGCGAAGTATTCATTCCAGTGACTTGTAAGCATATACCGCTTTGCAGTCATATGCCAGACCTTTTCCCCTATTTCAGTCATGTCACTCGCAGGCAATATTGTCAGATCTTGTACCAGTGCACAGGCCGACAGAATCGCCTTGTAGAATGAATCTTTGTATGTCTTCCCAAATATCACGTTATCCTTGACTGATGCGTTGCGAATCCATGCTTCCTGAGGGACGTATGCCACCTCCCCCTGTTAGGACAGGTGGAGGAAGAAGTAGTATTTCTTTGAATTTGCGACTCAAAAAATGTTTTATCACATTCCTCCACGCCATCTTCCATTATCATTTTCTTTTCCTGCATCCCATATCCTCTATTACGGTCCTCATTTTCTAATCTTTCTAACTAAAATCCTTCCAACTTTGTCAATTATATGTGGACATGGAGGATTTTAATTTTGCATTGATTCTTGAATTCTTTGCATTGTGGGAGGATTTGCGATGTGGGAGGATTCGAATTTCATGAATTTGCGCAGCTGAACCTGAAGAAAATGTTTTCCTAAAATTCCACGTTCTTTGGGATTGGAGTTACCAAATGCTATACAATAACATTTTTCAAGGAATCACGAGAGGGATTCACTAATAGGAGCAGGTACATTACGAAACACGAAACACCCCAGCAATGATCTCAGCTGTGAGTGGACGTCGTCCAAATATAAATAATGGATGTCATGAGTTTTAAGATTTTCTATCAATAGGAAGTTATCTAGAGCGGTATTAATCTTTCTAAATAACCACCCTGAAGGCATATGCCCTTGAATCAACGTTGATTCAACGTTGTTTCTACGTTCAGATGTTGAATCAACACCGAATCAATGTTGTTTCAATGTTACATGCTATTTGGGCATATTCGTATTAATTGAAAAAAGTCCTGAAATGCACCCCCCCCCTTCTTTTAACAAATTACCTTCTCGTACGTAAGCATATGAGATTGTAATTTGTTAAAAGAAGAAGGGGAGCCTCATTCGCCCGTTTTATGCAAGCGTAGTGCCTGCAAAGCAGCCTGAAATACTCCTGAAAATATGCATGACAGATAATGTGCTCAGCTATTGCTTTCGTACGCGGATAGCGAACGCAAACAAAGACAGTAGAGGTAGGGTTTACTCCTCATAGGCATTTGCAACCTACGTAAATCGTGCTATCTGTTTCCCGTCTCTAACTATTGCATAGAGACACAATCTGGAAGAAGTTTGCCAATCATCTGGTTGCTAAACTTCTGCGTTTTTTGTGGCTCGAGTTTGTAGACGGATTACAAACAATTGAAACTGATCTGTGGCTTTCATGGGCATTCATTCACCGTGCATGCACATTGGGTATTCGGGCTTCATATCGAACCGAACGCTTTAGAGTTTGATATCTCGGGGCGGGGTAGGACCTGGAATTAATCTAAACGATATTGTCATTCAGCTTCCGAACTCTAAGGGCGAGGATAAAGAATCGACTGATTTCCCCCGCAAATATCACGAAAGACCAATATAGCAAGCTCAAGGTAAACATGCGTACCATTACGTTGACAAGGCCAGAGACCTTCTCCATGTCACCAAGGAAGGCAGAAAGTAAAGAGGATTTTCCAGAACCGACTTGGCCAACAACTGCAACCAACTTCCCGACTGGAATTCTCAGGTGAAGGTCCGTCAACACTGGTGGCTCATCGGGTGACCAGGTCAATGTTCCATTCTCGATCAGGACTGCATGTTCGTCTTTTATGAATAAGAACATTTTGCGATGAATTCAAACCATGTCGCTGTCGCGTCGTAAGCACTGAATGACACCTACCGGTAGTGTGATTTCGAGAACGTGATACATTGCTGGGATCCAATTCATTAGCATTCATGAAACTGTTTATCCTCTTGACGGACACCATGGTCTGCAAAAAGTAAATCTACCGTGAATGTCACTTGCCTTTCAAGAATGGATGATATAAAAATAAGTACGTGGTACACCACTAAATGTAAAGGATGAGACGCAGCCAGGGGATCAGACCCTCCTATTTTCTCTTATTGCACTCTCGGGAGAATGGCAAGAGTCATAATATAAAATATACAGAATCAAAGATACCCCAAATTGCGCAACTACAATCTGAAAGCGTCGTTATCACAGACCGGAATTCCGACGAAGGAATGGGATCGTAATGATCTACGTCTATTCGTGAAATGCAGGATATTCGAACTTTTTCTTTAAAGCGGGAAGCATACCTGAACGAGTTCCGAAGTGAAGCGTGGCAAATGTGCGATAGGGATCCGAATGATGCGCAAGAGGCTCAACGACACAAAAGCAGTGGAAGCATCCAGGACGTGGCTTGAATCGATCAGCACGAAGGTAACCAGAGACACCAGGCCTACCTGTTGGAGCAAAAATGAATAAAAAAGTGAGAAATACTCGAAACATCACGAAGTAGAGCGATTCAGCACCAAAAACGGAATGAAGCTCCAAAGGAATGAACCAATCGATTCCACATAAGCTTGCTTTCGAAGTAGTTGGATCTCTCCGTCTCGAATTTTCATAATGCGCTCCTGAAACGGCAGTTCCCAAGCATACAGCTTCAGCACCTGCAATAGAAGTAGAACAGGAGAATTTTGTTGAAAAATGATGCATAAGCACATGCGTGTATTAAGTATTCAGTTCGGCACCTTGATGCCGTTAAGAACTTCATTCATGAGTTTCACTCGTTCGTCCTTCTCTCTCATTTGCTGGACTTGGAGTTTTTGGAGCCGAGAAGCAATCACACCATGGAAGGGAATTGCGATGAGGATTACTCCCATTCCGGTCAGGACGGAGGGACCTGTCACCAACATTCGGGTGTGGATTATTCTCATGGCTATCTCATGTCACTCACTGCTCATGAAATTTAGATAATCCATTCATTGCCTCAGGGGATACCTAGGTAAGCCCACAGAAGATAGCATGCGATTCCAAGTTGAATGGGTAATGCGAGGATCATGCTCAAATTGAATGGAATGTCCAGAAATCTTTTCGCATCCACGGACATCAAGTTCACCATCTCCCCGACCGTGGATTTCTTGCGAGCAGCTGGTGACAAACGCAGAGACTGGGAAAAAAGGGAAAATCCATGAGCATCCACTGAATCAGATTCTTAATAAGGGATATGAAAAAAGGACTGATAGGAATCTTTTCAACCTTCCTATATATAGCGGAAATGATCGCTGCTCTCATCTGCATTCCAGCCACTTTGGATTTCTGAAAGGAAGCTGAATAGAAGATCGCCTGCAGGACGGCAGCGAGAAGCATCCCGAGTGCGTAGAAGCAGCCCTGCCATAGAGGAGCGTCTCCGCGCACGAATGAGATCATCTGGCTGGAAAGGAAGACCTTGTGACATCCTCCAGTCTCCGCTATTGTTGAGAATGAAATTTGAGATGCAAATGGGTCTTACTGGAGGAGTAGTGGATTTGCGAAGCCTGTCGTGTCTGCTAGGAATAGAAATAATCCGCTGAGGAGAAACTGGGCTCTATAGGTTCTCCATAACGGTCTTATGATGGAAATTTTCCTCCAGGTTCTTTTTGTGCTCCTAATACACATACCTCATGTGGAACATATGAAATTTACTGCTGAATTCTAATCCTATTTCATCATTCACAGGAAAATGTTCATACCTGCCAAAGGGCGGCGATTCGTTGCGAGTCATCATGTTCCTATTGAAGCTTGCGACACTGCCCTGTGAGGTATATTCCACATTGAGATCCCAGAGAATTTCGAAAGTGAGTGGGCGTTTCCACCCGAGCCATATGAGCCCCGTGCACCAGGAAAACCAAATTCGTGAGAAGAGAGAAGCTTGCCCCTCAGGAGACCGATTCTGTCATCAGTGGTACTGATACCGAATTCGAAATAAGTCAAAGACTGGAGGCAACTATGGCAAGTTCTTACTCACCTGAAAAACGGAAGTATTCCTGGGATAAGTGGGTGGGGTTTGCATGAAGCAGTAGAGAATAAGCTCACCAGAGATGAGTAAAAACTCAATCATGGAAGAAAAAAATTCGAAGGACCCTCCGATTCCATCGTGCTATAAACAGAACTGTTACCATGCTTTTCTCCGTGTGGAAAGGATAGTCCTTAGGATAACCAAAATAAAGAGATTCACATCATAAAGCAGGTGACGAACACGACTCCACAAAGAGACGGAACCCTTGAAGAAGAGCAAAGCCCAGAAAGTGAGCAAGATGCACGACTTGGGAATGCTTCTCGCCTTCTCCATGTATGTGAACAAGCAAGCAAGAGCCTGAAACATCAGGTGGATGATGACCTCAATTTCTGCAATGTCTTCCACGCACTGACATGCTGGGGGAAGAAAAACACTCGGAGCTCACCATCGTGAGAAGAAGCACTGTAGGCGTCAGGTAGTGAATCGGTGCTGATTGATGAGTGGCAAATGCACTAAGCAGATCCGCTGCGTACAAGACCAGTAATAAGAAGGCCAGAGACTGGAAAGGAAAAATGTGATAAATACGCAGGCATGAGATAATGAGAAACTCAAGTATCGAACTTCCAGAAAATAAGAACTTCCACCTGTGGCAATGAACTTTTCTGATCTTGTTCATTCAAAGACTTACACTTGGAGGTACTTCAACGTCATATAGAAATGTGTGAACTTGGGAGACTGCAATGAAGTGATTTAAAGTTTCCTAATTGGTCCATGAGGGACATCAACCAAAGGAATTCGAAGCATTAAATGGCTTTCTTATTGTGCCTTAATCACAGAAATGCATGTAAAATTGGGCACATCCAAAGACTAATGAAGTCTCTTTACTCATGCAAATATTGGGTTGTCCAGTAAGTTCGTGCCATTTTTTTAAAGGCATCATTTGTCACAACTGACGCTCGTCGGTCAGGTTCTGGTCAGGTCGCTAAGTTCATGAGGGACCCATGCACCAGACTTCTGGACTTTTCCCATTGCATTAAGGTGATTGAGCACTGTCTGTGGCGCACAGTCGAGTTGCTCAGCCAATTCTCGTGTTGTTTATAGGTTGTCCTCTTGGAGAAGAGTTTCTAGGCGCTCTTCATCAAAATCCACTGGACGTCCTGACCTAGGGGCGTCAGTCAGGCTGAAATCGCCTTCTTTGAAGCGGGCAAACCATTTTCGAGCTGTCCTTCCAGCAATAAAACCTTATTCGTAGACGCCACTGATGTTTCGAGCGGCTTGCGTAGCATTACAGCCATGATTAAACTCGTAGACAAGGAGATGTCGGAGATGTTCGTTTTTTTCGACCTGAAGCTCCATCAACCTTAAAAAAAAACTATTTATAAACGAAAATGAAAAACTCATTAGTGATTCTGGAAGAGGAAAACAAGAGCTACAAAATGGTATACAACACTCAGTGATAGGCAATACCTGCTGTGACAAATGATGCCTTAAAAAAAAGGCACGAACTTATTGGACAAACCAATATTTCAATGCTTGATGAAACTAGAACATTTATGTATAAATGACAGGAAGGAACATACGAATTTTGAAACATAAAACGATGTCCATGGAACGTCCTTCTCAACGCCCTTGTAGAGGCAGCGAACCTCCAACGCTGCCATGACCCACAGCCATCCACACGGGACCCACACCAACACGGTGTTTCGGAAGCATGGTGTCAGAGTTCCGCTTTCCGTCACGTTCACATCCTAAGCGAAAATCAATTTCGCCATGGCTCAGCTTCGACAATGCGAGAGTGAAATGTGTTTAATGTTTTGGCGAGACACGGTTTAAACTGCCCAAACAGCATGTTCAGGTAAACATGATATCAATTTTTTTGCAAACAATGCAAATTTCCTGCGATTGCCATGAAAATGACATCACGTTTATGCAAAATTTACGTTCCTATATTTGCGTCACCAAAGTGTACGTGTATTTTACATCAACTAGACGTCACTCCATCTGATGTGAAGTACATGATCTCAAGTTTATGAAAAATTGACGCCGCAACATCCATATGAAACTTTAGCTGACCACACTGCACTTGCAGTACCAAGATTCCTCACTAGATGGAACCCTTGTTCCCTACATCCTACAATTACTATTAAGTACTGGTTTTCCTGATTTAGTTTCAGGTTTTTCATCTACTTTTTATTATGTAATCCATGAATATATATATATATATATATATATGGAAAACATGAAATTATTATATATATATATTTAAATATATAACTCAGGGAATCATTAAATGCTGAAGTTAACCTTTTTATTACAGCAGTGCACGGGATTAGGGAAGAGTAGAATCCCTGCCCCACAAATACTACATCTTCTCTATCCTAAAAGGAAGAGAGCTCATTTGAACATCTACTTCTCCTCCCGAGGTTCCGGTACGGGAGAAGGAAGCAGTAGGTCACTTTGGTACTCTTGAGTGCTGGTGAGGATGTGTACTCGTGTACTCGTCCAACTATTCGTTCTTCAGAACTCCCTAGAGCTCTGAAGAACGTAAAGGAGTAGGAGATTCAGTATGTCAATTCTCTTCAATGGTAGTGGTTGACTCTTTAAATACGCATGAATGCCAGGGGGAAATTAACACAAATCTCACCGTTTACATATTACAGAGGTGACATTTCTGCAAACATGTTGACATTACCTTGATGACGGTTCCCGTAAAATAGATATAAAATGGAAAAAAAGTACATTCATTTAAAATTAACATAAACATGCTGCTTGGGTGAAAACGGTTCAAATCCTGTATGGTACCTTTGGATACGTGTTAGTAGGGTTGCTTTGCCCATTTTGTTTCTCTTTGTCTCTCTCGCAATTGACTTCAGGGTTATGTCGTACCATGCGGTATTTTAACCAGGTCATCAGGCTTAGTTTAGGAGGGATGAAGCGACGACACTAGCTGAGCTGAAACCCGCGCTGTCCGCTTGTGCATATATAACTATGATGCGTGACCTCTTATTAAAACCAAGTTTCACGCAGTTCTCCATTGACTCCAACGAGCGTAATGCAATTTCCAAGATATACAAATTTCATTAACCCTTCCACGAAGTGGCGCCTCTATCTTATTTTAACATTGCCTGGGACACTTGAAGTAGGCCCATAGTGCACTTAACATAATTGCCTGCACTAATACATCTGGGATCCCCAAAATATACAGCCACCATTGCCATAGTTGTCTTTTAAATCCAGGGCTGGGATTCTGATGAAGGTTGGCCTGCCCATCCATCATCCGGGGAACCGGTAGTGGCCTGTTAAATCTCGATATCTGAATGCATATTTCCTTCAGTTTAAATGGAGAAAATTAGTGCTCGAGGATGGCGTGAGCATGAACGTCCTTCAGTAGGCTAAGCATAGGCCTACTACATCATATCATCTCGATACTTTATTCGCACTTGTTTTCAAATAAGCGTATCTTTGAGAGTGGGGTAGGGCCTGGGCTTCAGTCCATGGATAAGGCATAGGCTTATTAAGGATCCGGTCAAAATGTGCACCCTGGGCAGGTACCTCTTAAGTCATGGATTTTTCTAGTCAGGCTTTTTGTTGATATTCGTGTTCCCCGTTTTGTCGAAGGAAGTGGGGCATAAAAATGGCAGTGGCATAAGCGTCCCTAAGTGGATTAGGCATTAGCTCCCGAAATCGCAATGTCTAAGGAAAGCTTTCCTATCCGGTTCACAGCTAAATTATATGTGTAGGCAATTCGCACCCGCAAGCGTACCAGTACGCATCAACCTTTGTCCTTCCACCTAGCCGATGTCATAGAAAGGTACAGGTCAAAAGGCCACTCGCCTAAGGCTACGGCAGCAGGATTCTGTCAGATAGGCCGAATAGCTCCTGGATGCAAGGCCTTCGAAATGTTTCCCAGGCCATATACCTCCAAAGTCAGATATTCTCTAGATTATGCAACCTAGCAACTATTCACGTTCCTTCCAGTTTGTTGAAGGAAGGTATGTTGATGAGCATAAGTCTAAATGTCCGTCCCTGGGTTAGGCCTAGTCTATCAAAATGAATCCCCCAAAATGTACCCCAAAGCATGTACCTCCAAATTTTTAATTTTTCTGCAATCATGAACCTAACAGCTATATGGGTACCAAGTTTCATCCTCTCATCATATCTAGAACAAGGTTGCAAATTAGCATCAGTCTCTCCCTCACTCAGTCATGATCGTCTATATATATTTGATGATTAATTTAAATACACTCCTAAGATGAACTGATCACAATTATTCTCACTATAGAAGTTCTCAATTCAAAAATATAAACGTATCCGAATATTGCTACTTTTTCCTTGTTGCAGAAAAGGAAGCTCAATATGTTATGATTGCCTGGTTTTATGCTTAAAAATGAGCAATTAAATAGCGTTCTGGCTTCGAAAGATATACAGGTGTCATTTTATCCTTATAGGCAAAACTTCAAAGGGGCATATCTGGAAGACCATATGAAGACGACTGCCGTAATTTTTGGATTTATCAGTATTTCATAACCCCCAGTAAGCATGATTTTTTTAAATCCCAGTGCACCAGTACCGAATCCCAGTGCACACAATGAGACGAGCCCTATGCTAAGGGCCTTATATTACTTGATTACATACTTACAGTTAATCCATTATATGACTTTTAAGAGTGCATGGCAAAATGGAATATGGAGAAATGGCACAAACCGAAGATTGTTCAGTTCCAGTGAAGGATGAGCAGCTTCTTTCAATGTTGCCTCTGATCCCACTTTTAGTTTGAATCCTCCCCAGGTGAGAAAAACTGGTATGGGTGGCGCGAATCACCTTTACAAAGGAAAGTGCTGTACCTTAAATTGGACAATGTCCCATGGCAAGTTAAGTCCAGGCCAGTGAACGTCATATATCTGAACAGGCCTAATTAGTTCATCTTAGGTTATAGCCTACATTGCTTTAGGGGAAATAAAATGCACTATTAGATGGTTAAACTTTGGCCCTGAGGGTCCCCCCATATCAAACTTATCCATACACCTGCCAGCATTGAAGGATGTCCTTATAAGCTGCTCTATATTCAAGGTCCTAGTTACCCAGAAGTCATGGAAAACTTTACTCCAATATTCAACGTGTTTAGATGAAGGTGTCCAGATCGTACAAGGTGGCTCATTGTGAGCGTAACCATTTTGAGCTGAATCATTTAAGTCTTGCTCTTGCCATTGTTGAATATATTTTTTTTTACTCACTCTTCTGTAAAAGATTTTCATTTTTTAAGGTAACAGGTTCCCTTCGATGTACAATCTAGTGTTGCCAATAATGGTCTGGCATCTTCTTATTCCTAAAGTATATTTGTTTTTCGTTTCTGAACAAATTCCTCAGTAATGTAAAAAAAAATCCGAGAGAAAACACACTTTGTCAGTTTTTTTCTAATGGTCTCCAGTGGAACTGAGAATAAAGCTAAGCCAAGCTCCACATAGCATTGAACTTTACTTCAACTGGTTCTGTTATCCACTCAAACTTGAATTCCAGGAAATACATTTTGATAATCTCTCTAATTTGTTGAACTCTTCTAAACCTTTTTCTTTTACCTGTGGCAGATATATATTGTAATCATTAACACCCATAGAATGCTCATATTTCCAACCCCCAACTCTCCCTTGGTTTGCTTTAAGTCAAACAGCACATCCTGCCCTGCTTCATTGTACCCATTGGAGAAATTATCATTTCACATCCTCTTCGAACTGTAATTTATCTGCATTGCCTATAAAGTTATGCTCTGAGAGTCTTCAAGGGATCTTAAGTCACATAGGGCTTCCTCTTTATACCTTTTGCTTTACGATTTGTTATTAGCTTTCCTGTTGAAGCAAAGAACAAATTCCCCTAACTAACCAAATTGAACAGATTAGAGCCTCTTTCTCTTGTCGACATCGGCGAATGAAATGTTATCACTCAGAATGCTAAATATTTACCACTTCGTACGCTTAAACCCTCATCCCTACAAATGAGTCAAATGTAAAATAAGTAATATCTTACATATATTGAAAAAGAAACGCTTTCATTTTCGCTAACTTTACGTTTCCCTTAACGTTAGGCCTTGTCGCATATTCCAATATTTGTCTTGGATTGGTCCTTACCTGGTCGGGAGGGAAATAATTAACTGAACCCTCGTAATAAACCCCAGTTTCATTAGATTATCTGCGTATCTAGAATGAGGCTCTAACGTTAGTTCTAACCAGACCTCTTCTCTGATATATCCTAGGCCGAAAGTCTAATTAAAACTCATTTCATAGGACCCAAAGTTAGGCCAACGTATCACCGGCGGGACTAAATCAACACCATCACCACATACGGAAGTGACACAAGAGCTTAAATAAATGGGAAGCTGTTGCTCCATGAGCGAAGAGAAATATTCGCAAAATGGCGCTTCTCCCACCACTCCGTTCTCGCATGAGACGGCCATGACTATGCGTAACTCGCCACGCTGCCAACAGATGGCTAGCAGCGATTGATGGGCCCCAACCTTCTTAGGTGGGTTTAACTCTGCCTTACGCAAAACAAGATTTTGGTTCATACCGTTTATACTCTGAGAGATGACCGAGTAATCGCGCTCCCCCTCTCCCATGCTACGATCCCACTCTTACAGACAGCGAGTTCTACTGGGCCAGAGGAAGCTATGTGACATTCTTTTAATAGCCTTGTAGAAATCGTTTTGGGTAACTTGGGGAATATGGCCATTGGAGTTCTCCGCAATGAATCCCCTTACAGACTGAATAATTAGTTTGGGCGAATTAAAAAAATCGCTCTATCCAAGAGAACATACAATTGTCGAAGCGTTCAGACCTGTTCATTGATCCAGTTCTCACAGAAATTCGGGATACATCGATGTCTTGAAAGTCATATGCATGCGATTCTTCGAGTCATGACCCTGAAACTAATGTGAGCCTTGAGCAACTTATGCGTATATTTCCATATAGCAGCATGGATACAGAATCCATTTCTTCTAAGTTCTTCTATGGTCCCTCCAGAATGCTTGTGCAACGTGCTGGCCCCTTCACTTGCGGTTTGAAGACAGTGTTGTCCATTTTGTCATGCAAGCCAATACGGAGGAATATGGGCATCTGGAATTGGGATAATATGGATACATCCTTCATTTCATGCTAGCACTGCACTGACCTATTGGTAGTGTCAGCTTCCTTTCATGTGGGATCACAGGCTGCAAAAGATCATCCAATGCACTTACTATGGATATATGGATAGAAGTACTGGACGTCTGGATGAAATATGTAGTACATGAGGAGGCGGTCAAGGACATCCGCTTGACATA